AAACATTCTCATTATTTCCTGTGTCTCATAATAATTGTGATTGCAGAGAATAAAAGTCATTTGTGTGCTTCGTACAAAAGGCTGATTGCAACAGAGAGTCTCTTCCTTTAATGAGTGGTCGGATATAATTCAAAATGAAAAAGCCTGGTTTAAAGTGTTTATCTTTGTTATAATTGCCTGTCCAAATGAGACATAACTCTATAACAAAGTAACAATTATGATATATACAGCTATGGGATCAAACGGATGAATGACAATTGCTTAGCCACATAGAGCATATATCGTATTTACTAATCGATAAGACTAAACTACTATTCACAAGATTTTTAATTTATTTTTTGTTTTCGTTTATTATTATATAGTTTCACTCCATCAACCAGGTCAAATCTATCGCGATTGCAAACGATCTAGTTACTTTTGATCTTTGAGCAGACACTATAATAGACAAAACAAAATAAATGGAGAATGTTGTTTGACTGAAGCCAAGCCTCTATGCTTTGAAATGAGTGCAGAAATTTCTCTTCAAGAGAATATCTTTACACAAAAAAAAAAAAAAAAAAAAAAAAAATAAATTAAAAAAAAAAAAAAAAAAAAAAAAAAAAATTAATTCATTAATAATAATAATAATAAAATAAAAAATTTAAGGAGAAAAGCCAAGAGGTATAGTTAGCTTTGACTTCTTTCCCTTTTCTTCTCAACGAGAGGCTTTCCAAAAGCACGGGTTTTTCGACCTCCATGATTTTTTTCATGTCAGCGACATATTTCTATGTTGGTTTTACACAAAAAAGGATTAATTTATTTCGAAGCCCACCTTTTTCTAGATTTAGAAGACAAAATCTAAGATTGATGATGAAAAAGCTTGTTGAACCAATGTTAAACTTATTGTAAATGTATTATGACACAATTTGTTTATTTTTATTCGCATTTAAAATAATTTTAAGACTTTAGGCTATATAAGCAAATAGCTTAACCAAATTTTTTATGCCTCTCTTTCTAGCTTAAACAAACATGGTGAATGACTCACTAATCCATGTGTAGAATCTAATAATAAAAAACAAAGTAGACTTTAATCGATTCCTTTACCCTCATCATTTAGAATTCTCTTACTTTAGGGAGATTAAACTTTTAGAATATATTTTTGTGGAACATTTCCACCTTATTTGATTCCAAGAATTCGTATAGTGCTCAATAATAAACCACGTGCATCTATTTTTTTTAATATTCTTTTTCGATTTTACATGTTTATAATACCTCTTTCAACAAGATTTTACTTTTCAGTTTATGCATTCTAAGAATGAGTTAATTAAATAATTTCAATTTTTTTGTTCGTACAAAAGTAGAAGTGATCGAATTCCACCAGATACTGATATAACATCAATTGGTTGATCTTCCTCCGCACCCCCCCCCCAGTCTTTGACTAGATGTTACCATGTGTACTCTATGAAAATTCTGATTGAGAATTTCTGTACACATAGCAAGTTTGAAATAATTTTCATTCATGAATATGGACCATGATACAGTTGTGCCCGTCTCGGGTTCATTAAGAAGAAAATGAAACAATTTCTTGGGAAGAATTTATAGAGCATGCATCTTTTAGGATAGAAAATGATGGTTGGTCAAAAACTAACTTGTCTCACTGAAAATTAACTAAATAAGAAATCCAAAACGTAATTTTTGTATAGTTGCAATCGATGAACAAATGTATCATGTTTCATAATTTCGTAATCCATATTAAAAAATGAAGATCAGCACGTGAAGTGAACCACTTCTTTGTCCAAAAATCATTCTTTAATTTCTAAATACTATTAAGAAAAAAATACATTTCTAGTCCATAACTACTGCTTAAATAGCAAGTTGGTCTCCAAAGTTTAAAAATGAACGTGTTGGTCCCAAAATTACATAATAATTGCACAATCGGTTAAGAAAAATCGTCCAAATCTCCATAAGTTCTTATGCGACACTTATATAAACATATCTTACTTCAAATTTCTAAACACGAGCTCAAGTAAAGACACAAAACTAGCTTTATAAAATTAAACATTTAGCCGTTATACGATGATTTACGGAAATTTGAACAGTCTTTGGCATGGAGATTAATTGCCAGCTATAAATAAAGGTTGATGATCAATTCGTTACTATAACTAAAGGTTGCAGAACTAATTGCAACTTTATCTACTAATAATTATTTGTGACCAGTCCTTCCAATCACATAATGACATCAAATTTTCATGTTCTTTCAACAAAATTATTTGGATTACAATTTGAAAACTAAATTATAATCATGAGCCATCTAATCGACAATCAATGTGGATGGTAAAGGAAAGTGATGAAGGCAGTCTAAATTTATAATTTTTCTTGGTGGAGGGCCCTTAATTTGCTAGCACCACCAGAAAATGTACTCTTTTTTTTTTCTTTTTTGAAATAAAGCATTTGATAGTAGGTATAAGACATTTATGTCTCAACTCTTGATATTATATCACTTCTTGCATCTATGTTGGATTATTGGACCTCTTTTCACAGATGTAAAATCAATATAAAATGTTAAAGAAAAAGAAGTTATCAAATTTTACATGGTATATATATGTTACGACTTGTTTGCAATATTGGATTTTTAAAGTAAATATAGTGATGATCAAACGAAGTAATGGAAAACATTCCTAAAAGACCTAGCTCTTCATTATCTTGTACACACGAACTTATATCTCTAGATAATTGTTAGTACGAGTTAGACAAAATTCCTCAAATTTTCAACAAGAAATAGCCAGTTTTGTCAAGTTTGAAAGAGAAAATAGTTAATGATAAATTAATTTTGACATTGGTTAATTGGTCGTACTCATAGGGTAAACAATGTGAGTACTTCAATGTGTTGACGTCAAAGTTTATACACAAGTTTATATCTCTATCTATTAGTACGAGTTGAAAAAAATTACTCAAATCTTCATTGTGAATTAGTCGATTCTAAGATCTAGTTTGAAAGAGAAAAAAGTTAATGATAAATTATTTTCAAAATAAAAATTGATTATATCGGTCGTAGCATAGGATGATCGATGATGTGAGTATTTCAATGTGTTGACGTTAAAATTTATAAACCATCAAATCCACCCGTGAGCACTCCTGTTTACTAAGCTAGTGGGTTGTGTCCACACAATACTAATTAATTGAAAGAGGACACAGTTTGGGGGGAAAAATGATCACATCTTATAATTTGGTGTACGTTGTGTGGCAGGCAAGATAAAAGGGTACGCAAATCAACGGTTTGAAATTAATATTTATAAGTAATAATTCACTTTCCAATGAAAATCTCAAAAGACAAACATCCTCTCAAATGTCACATTCTTCAAAAACCCACGAGCAACCTCTTAATAAAATAAATTAAATATATAAAACAATACATCGAACCCCAGATAATTAAGATTTCTTGGTCCCCCATATCCCCATTTAGAAAAGATATATTATACATTTAAAAACTCATATAATTTGATTATAATATTAGAGGACATTACATGATATTGCCAAGAGCATAATTGAAAATATTATGCTTTTATTAATTATTGTGCATTTATCTTTTAGTACACGTAACAAAGAATTGAACGAAATGACCACAAAAAATTATTGAATCAACGTCAAAATTTTTGAGAATAAGATGTGATTTGTTGTTTTTTTGGAGTCTGTTTGGGAGTGATTTTTTAGAATTGATTTTTTAATCGTTAGGAGAAAATTGAGGTCCATTTGTGAGAGAAGAAGTCAAATATGATTGTTGGAATAGTGAAATAACAGTGAAAAAAATCAATTTTTTGGGTGAGAAAATGGCTCTCAAACAGGCTCTTGATAATGCCTTCTTGAGTTTTGTAACTACGAAATAAAACATGAAAATCTCTAAAACTGCAATATTAAATTCGATTTCATAGATAAACACGATTTTAACAACTTTTTTCATTAATATTGTCCATTATCATTCACCCCTATCATCCGTGCCAAACATACATTAAGAATGTAGGAACTCGTAATATAATTGATGGGTGGGTGCGAAGGTCACTAATCAAATTGTGTTCTTCAAATCTCATATGGATTTGCTTCCCGACAAGTACTAGCAGAAGCAAGGTAAATTCTATGACGTAAAAGTGAAAAAAGATAAAACTAAGTCCGTGAACAAAGTTTAAAAAAGAAAAAAAGGGAATCCAAAAAAAAAAAAAGAAGTTAGGACAAGGGTTTTTGGTAACCTACCAAGATTTTTTATTTTCCAAATACAAAGAATCATCACTCCAAATCCCTTTAGAAAAACACAAAGACAAAAGGGAATTAGAAGAGTGTGTATTTAGGAGAAACAAAGCCCACAAATTTCAATAGAATAGAGGGACGTAAAGGAACAAATTCAGTTGCTCGAGGAAGAAAAAGAGGAAACAAGAATCCAAGATGCACTAAACTCAAAAGGGATAGTCCTACTCAAGAGTGTTGCCTAATCCCAGTCAAACCATTCTACAATCCAATGATCTCAATATGAAATCATAAAAATATAGTGCCAATCAAAAAAAAATTTAATACCCCACTTGCAATTTTTTCTTCACAAATTGATATTTTTTTGTCTAAACAATCATGTTTGGATAAAGAAATCACCTAGCAGAAAAAAAAAGATGAAATTGGAAGAGAATTCATTGTAGTTTCATGTCCTTAAATTTGCCTGCTATTAATCTTTCATGACTTTGTTAACGAACTAATTTCATCTGTGCGTGAAAGGTTTGACTTGTGAGTTTATAAACTTTGAGCATCTTCTTTACGAGTCCATTTTAAGGGCGAGTTCTTACAAGTCGGGTGGGTCGGGGGATTTGGTTTCTTCATTTCTTCTTCATATTAATTTGTTTGCATAGGAGATCATGTACAAGCAGATGTACACCTATACCGTCCAATGAAAAATTGTCAAGTTTCTTCTTATACAAACCTTATCAAAATTTCTAGTACGCACATCATTTCTCTTATTTTTCTTTGTTCTTCCTTTGTGTCCATTTTAGCAATGAAAATGGCAGATTACCAATCGTCCTTTCCCATCTATAGGAAACACTCATCATTGCTCCCAACAGTCCTTTTCAACCTCTGAAAACTGAGCTTCCAAGATTGATTTTCCCTCCTCCCATACCTTTCCTTCCTCTTTTCCTCCCAACAATTTAAAATATCACTCTCTATATTAACTTTTCCCTCCCTCCTCCTTTTCCCTTCCAGTTACTTCCCTATGGTGGATTCTTCTTCCAAATCTCTCACTGGCTTCTCAACCTCAGAAAACTAAGCTTCTAAGATTGATTTCACTTTCCCTCCCCCTTCTCCCTTTTCCCTCTCTATTTACTTTCTTCCATATGATGGATCCTTCCTCAACAAACTCTGTCACTGGCTTCTACAATTTCCTAACCCGGGGAATCGATGATCTCGAACGAGTTTTCCTGTCCAATAATTTCATGTCAATTCAATTCCTTCAAAGAAATTTGTCCCTCTTGAGATCATTCCACAATCAGTTGACCCTTTTGGTTCAAAAACTTCACTTGCCAGTTGGTGAAAAATGGCTTGATGAGTACATGGATGAAAGTTCCAGGCTCTGGGATATTTGTCATGTCCTTAAATCTGGAATTTCAGGCCTGGAAAATTATTACTCTGCAGGATTCAACATAACTTCTTCCCTCGATGGCCATCGACGTTTAAGTCCACAACTTTCGCGTCAGGTGAATAATTACTATTGAATTATTTCGTCTAAAAGTTTAAGTGCAAGATGTGCACAGTTGCTCTGACATGGCATTGAATCGCCTCTTCACTACTAGAGAAGGCACTTTATTTATTTAAATGTGGTCCTAACAAAGAGAAAAAAAAACTAAAATCAACCATATTCATGGGTAAAAATTGAATTTTTTTATTGGTTGTGGCAATTTTTGTTCACTTATTGATTTTCTTGATCGAATTCTTGAAAAAACAGGTTATTCGAGCAATATCAGGATGTCAAAGAGTGGCTGTGGGATTGGAGGAGGAGAACAGATCACTAATGGAGACAAGAATTGAGCCACTCTCATTAAGATTTGAAGAGAGAGTTTCTGTAGAATCAAAACTGAATGGATTCAACGGATTCAGGGGAGTTTTATATGCAATGAGAAATGTGAATTCAATTTTACTGATGATCTTACTCTACGGCCTAGTTTTCTGCTGGCCGGAGTTGAATTTTTCAAGAGGAGGATACGAAGGGTGTTTGTTCTTTGGATCATCCTTCATGATCTCAACCGCAAGATTGCAGCAGAGGGTGGCATCTGAGATCAATCAGATGACGTTCCGTGGCGGGATTATGCTACACGAGTTTCGACTATCCAAGATTGCCATGGATGAGCTGAGGGGAGAATTGGAGAGGAACTGCTTACAAGGAACTGTAGATTGGGAATCAGAAGTTGGAATAACAGAGAGAATGGAAAATTTGAAGAGTTGTTTTGGAGTATTGAGAAGTGGTACTGAGAATATCATTGGACAACTTGATGACTTTTTTGATGAGATTGTTGAAGGAAGGAAGAAGTTATTGGATTTATGCAGCCATAGGTAGGGAATTTAGAAGCTCAATTCAAACAAGTAGGGGAATCCATAGTTGGATGGTTGTAACTTTTCATTTTAGTTTCTTTCTTTTCTTCCTTCTAGTTTTATGCAATTCCCTTATCGTTGGCATGCAGTACTAGAGAGGACTCGACACTAGAGGGGATAAGATTTTGCTTCTTCTTCTTCTTTCTTAATATGTCCAATGCTATCTGATCCATGCATTATTTGAAAATATCATTGGGCAGTGTAATCAATCTTATGATGAATTTGTTGAAGGAAGGAAAAAGCAATTGGATTTATGCAGACATAGGTAGAGACTTTAAAAGCTCCATTCAAGTATTTGAAGATAAAAATACAAGGGAAAACAAGTAGGATTTTCATTTTAGTTTATATTTCATTTCATCATTCTTGCTCATTCTCCACATGTTCGGTATGCACTATTGAACAAAAATAGACAGTATAGTGGATATGATTTTAGTTGGGATTCTCAATGTTGTAATAAGTTGTGCAATCCACTTGATACTAACAATATCATTGGACAACTTGATGATTTTCTTGATGAAATCGTAGGACGGAGGAAAAATTCTTGGATTATGCAGCCATAGGTAGAGAATTTAGAAGTTAATTCAAGAATGGGAAGAAAAATAAAATAGTCTAATAGATAAGATTTTCACTTTTTTTACTTTTTAGGTATGGTTTGGTACTGTCTAATTCACATTATGTTTCTTTTTTGAATCCCAAATGGGAATTATTTAAAGGAAAAAGATGTTGGAGAAAGACATGATTTTTCAGAAAATCATGCACGAGAATCCAATGGAAACCAAAAGATAAAGCAAAGAAGTAAAAAGAAAGCTGACATGACTACATTAATTGTAATGAGATAACAAAATTTCAACCAAGTACAGTATTATATCCACATTTTTGTCTCCTACAAAAAATAAAGGAATGAAAATAACAAGAATGGAGACTTCATGTTACTCAAATGGGGTCGAATTTGTACATCTTGCTCATTTATCTTTTGGTTTACTTTCTGAGAAAATTGCACTATTTGTCTCCAACTTACTATCCCAGTAGCAACTTAATCCCCAAATCTTTAAAAAAGTGCACGCTGGCCCTTGACCTGTCATTAGTTCAAACGTATGTTATAACGTCAGCTGGTTTTGCATGTCCCATTTCATGAAACTAAGTTTTAATTTCCGATATCATGAAGTGTGTGACATGTTTCTGTAATGGTCACACAATACTACAATAAGGATCTGATTCATTCGAACGGTTTCCTTTAAAATAGCACAAAAAATCTTCAATTTTTTTGGCAAATTCATGGATGCATACAGCGTTTTTTGTAGCACTTGATTCTTGACCGACGGATTCTGTCTATTTTTTAAGGCTCGCTTTCAAAAGTGCAATAGAGGTCGCCAACTTAGGCCATTAGCCTTATTGATGGTGACTGTTTTTGTAGACTTTGGTGGCAGTAAAACAAGTGATGATTACAATAGAAAAAGAATGATGAAAGTGAAGATTTGAGGGTTAGATTCCTGGGTTTTGGCTTTAGTGTCAAAAGCATGAGTGTTTTTTGCTTACTTTTAAGCTTTTGTCTGGTTCAAGTTCACTTTGACAGGAATTGATTTGATGAACTCAAAATTTCTACTTGACAAGTCTCTTTTGCAACCCACCACTCCACCCCAAACCCACAAAATATCCATTTTCAAGATCAAATGGATTTAAGGGATTATTATAAACGATTGCAATCTTTAAAGATCCCACATTAGCATGTTTTAAAGTAAGTAAAAAGTATTTGATAACATTTTTTAAGTAAAAATTACTTATTTTGAATCATCTTTATGCTACTATAAAAAAAAGTAACTCAAACAAAAAGAATATTTGTTTTATAACTTATTTAATTATAAGTAAAATTTTTTAAGCTTGGTCAAACGTGATCATCTAAAACAAATTCTAAGTCCATTTAACCTGATATAAAGTTCGTTGTCCCTTTGCCAGAAATCCATGGCTGCCTGTCTTAAGGGATTAATTTAATAAATGATTACCGAAAAGAAAAAGTTAAATGCATAAATTAATTCACTCAGATGTTTGAAAAGTAAGAAAAGAGCTACAAATGTTGAAAATTGCTGGTGGTTTTGGCAACATCTTTGTTAGAAAACAGAACCAGTCTGTGACTGAGTCTACACATTATCTTTATACATCTTAGTAGCATATATAATATTGCTGTATCATAGTCTATAGCTCATATTATTAATAATAATAAATCAATACTACCAGAATAAGAAAAGAGCAGAATCTAGTAATTATTTCCACTTATAAATCTCATCCACATAACTAAGAATTTAAAATTAAATCCAACGGAGAAAGTCATTAGACTCAGTCAATTGTCTGATATTGAACTCAAAATCTTAAATTAATCCATTAAGTAAAAAGGAAAAAGAAAAAAAAATTCTTATAGCAACATCTACTCTCGACAACTTTCAATTCACTCGTGGATCCAAGTAATCCGGCAGCTCGCTTCTCAAAGGTTTATAAAATTTCTCATTAGTGTACAGAAAGCTTCAAAACAGATCCACAAGATCGTTCCCAGAGAAATATGAACAATATCTAACAGTGAAAAATGAACTAGGCCAGTGCACTTTGGTGATTATAATAATTAGAAAAGCTATTAAAGAACAAGCAAAGCGCACATAGAGTGATGGTGTTTCACAGTAAATATGAGAGCCATGTCCGCTCAAGATACAACCAATCCAATCCAATAACTATCTAGATTTATTCGAATTTTTTGTAAATGAATGAAGTGGATTGCAAAAAGAAAATTTTGCTTTGTTGTAATAGGGAAGAATGCAAGGTTTTCCTCACACCTCTCTTGCAAAATAAACTACCCTCTAATAAGTCATTTCTAAAGCAAGAATATCAGGGCTACCCGATACATTTGTAAATTCCCAATATACTCCCGTAATAACAGAAATGCCCTCTGTGGTCAAGGTGATACACAGTCCAACATATATGTTATAGATCACAAGCCACAAGGATTAAAAACTAGAGGAATTTGGAAAAATCAAAGTTGTGTGAGGAGCTTTAAAAAAAAAAAAGAGCAAAAAAAATAAAATAAAATGAAGATATATAACTGGTACGGCATGGACTTATTTTCATCTTCTACACCAGGCAATAAGGCAACTTTTGTGGCACCTTTCATCAACAGATAGCAGTTTATGAGGTAACTCTTTACAGAATTTACCAACATAAATCTTAGAGAGTAAGGAAGGAACTGAATGTACCATTCACTTAGCTACTTTAATTTTTCCAAAAAAGAAGGTTGGGATGGGAGAGCTGAAATATTCATAATGGTAACCAAAGCAACCATTGATCATGCTCATAGTGTTAACATATCACATTAGAGACATCGACATCAACATCAACATCAACATCAACACATATATAACTGGTACGGCATGGACTTATTTTCATCTTCTACACCAGGCAATAAGGCAACTTTTGTGGCACCTTTCATCAACAGATAGCAGTTTATGAGGTAACTCTTTACAGAATTTACCAACATAAATCTTAGAGAGTAAGGAAGGAACTGAATGTACCATTCACTTAGCTACTTTAATTTTTCCAAAAAAGAAGGTTGGGATGGGAGAGCTGAAATATTCATAATGGTAACCAAAGCAACCATTGATCATGCTCATAGTGTTAACATATCACATTAGAGACATCGACATCAACATCAACATCAACATCAACACCGACATATCATCAAATGGAATATAGAAAGTAATAACGTGCAAATATTAAGTAAAGTCTAAAGCTAAAAACACTAAATTCCTGGTTGATATACAATCTACTTAGCAAATAATAGAAGAAATCAATCTAGAAACACTAATCAAGTTAGGTTCCCAATACTAGCTATGACCGGTGAATTTGTCATAAGTTGTTTAGTATGAACATGATCAGTTGTCAAAATCCATCCAAATTCTCCTTTCTATTTTCCAAGTCTCAAATGGAAAAATACACAAGAACTGAAGGGAAAACTATCAAAAAGTTTTGCACAAGCATCAAGTGGAAAAGAGACACAAATATCAGCCAGGCAATAACTGTATGAATAAAGGGACAAACCTTGATGGCAGAAGAAGACCTCTGTTATCAGTTATACCTTCAGAAACACCAACTTCAATACCATTTTGCAGCATGCCATAAACTTTAAGGCTTCCAGTGACTCCATGTCTTTTCGAATATTTGGGAAGACTAGTTTTTGGGTGGATCGTGGATATGCAGTGTATGGATGATATAGATTTTGGGAGAGCCATACCTCAAAAGCTAATTTTTGAAGTTAAATAACCCGAGTCTATATAAACCACACAGAGTCTATATAAACCACACACTGAAAACCCGTACTTCAAATGTGAAATTCAAGTCTCATAACTTGAAATAGGAACCATAACAATCCATCACAATTTGCGATTTCAATGCCTATGTCGGACTGGCTTTGCACTAGCCCATGACTACTCTCGGATGAACACTGTTATGCCGATGTCACCATTCGTGCAGCTCGATTGTAACCGGGAGACATGGTGCCTTCTTTGATACCATTGATATAGCCATATTTTAAAAGCTAACTGTTAAAATTGGAGAGCCCAAACCTATATAAACCACACACCAAAAGACCGTACTTTCGATATGGAATTCAAGTCCCATACCTTATAATGAAAACCATAACAATGGATCACTCATATATTATTCTGAACTATTAAGTATCCAGGGGAGTAATTTGGAAAAATAGTGCGTACATGCGTCCAAATAAAAAGTGATTTTATCATCCTATATAAAGCAACAACGGTTTGTAACACACTAGATCATAGGTATAGAGAGTCAGGAACGAACAACATGGCATACACATTATACAAATAGCTCTGAACAACTGCTAGACTGATACTTCCAGCCTAATGTGCAGTCCCCATATATTGTTTTGTATTGAATAGCTCCCTCCTCTAATAAACCTATATGTATTGCTAAAATCATGCTTACCGATATGAAGCTAATTTTCCAGGTAGCAATTACTTAGCAGAAGCACCCCCCCACCCCCCACCCAAAAAAAA